TTTTAATAATCTATCCTAGAAACATTATATTGATCTGAACAATTTTGGCACAATTTATTTCTCTCTACTGAACGATCGCTAATAAATGATTAATATTTCATTCGATTTGAACGTGTTTTGTCGAAAATCTGTTTTAACTGCTAGATAGAAACGTTCTATAAGACGAAATAATGATAAAATAGTTTGAATTATCGATTAAAAATTTCTAACGAAATAAATTTAATCGATCCTTATAAAAATGTTTTGAAAATAAATTTATTTGAATAGGATATTTATCGATATGGTTAAACAAAGAAATTCGAAAATAAAAAATGAAAATATTTTTTTTTTTAATATTTATTAATATAGAAGTGATGATGTACCTGGTTAATACAATCGAGTTCCTTATATTCCAGATTCTTGTAAAGTATTGTCTGATCTTTGGAAAATAAATAAAGATTTTGTAAGTTAAATAAAAGTATTGATAAGGATGTATCAAAATCATTGAAAGAATTTCTTTTGATTGATGTTGCACGTTGTTATCGTTCTCCATATAGAACAAATGGTACTTTATCGATTTTAAATCAAACAGTTGATGATTTAATTCAAATACATGATTTTATTGATTCAAAAAGAAAAGAATGGGTTAAACAATTTAAAAAGATTATCGAACAAGCTACAGATAAACAAGTATTTATTTATTTATTGATTTATTTCTAATATAAGTCAACTATTCGTCAAACAATGACTGAACTAAGAGATAGTTATGAAAAAGCTCAACGAAAATTAGAAACAGCTGATGCCAATTTAAAAAAAAATGTTTAAATGATTCTTTGATTTGTTCTACTTCTCATTTCAAAATATAATGTGCTCCATTGTTTTCTTTTGAATAACTTTTGATAGGAACATCATAGAGATCTTCGGCTTTCACCATTCAAGAGAGAAGATCTGGAACCTTGTAAAATTCTCGTCAAGAACTTATCCAATTAGCCAATGAAATTTTGATATATTTCGATTGCTTTGGATCTTCTCTTTTGAATGTTGAAAGCTGCAGGTCTCTGTAATATTCCTATCACAAGTTATTTAAAAAACAACGGAACACAATATATTTTGAAATGGATAGTAGTTATTATCGTTAAGAAAAGAAGCCAAAAACACCGCGTTTCTAAACGTTTTGCTTTCACTTTACTTATTACAGATAATAAGATCATTTTTCTTATCGTTCAATATGGGTAAGGTAAATGGATATAGTAAAAAAATAATTTGTGTTGCTTTATTTTTTTTTGACGAATTTTCTTATATTTTTTGTTCCTAATGCAAACAATTGAATGTCAATTATTATTAGTATAATATGAGTTTTACTTATTTAGAACTCGACAACAAGATCTCTATGATCAATATTCATCATCATACAGTGATTCACATTATTGGCATGGAAATAATTCAAATTCATATAATTTTTATGGTTCAACATTCATCTCATACACTTTTACAACAAAATGGTTTTACTCAAACAGTTTATCTTAAATATAAACAAGAATGTCCTGATGGTAAAAAAGAAACGTTGATTGTAGAGAAAAAAAAAAGATTATTAGTTCAGTACATATTTACAATATTTCGAGAGAAACAAGCTACTGGTAAAAAAACATTGAAATTATGTTACATTGAACGTAAAGAAAACGAGTCTTTTAATGACTAAAGAAGAGTCAACATATCTAGAAACAACAATGAAAATTACTCTCCGGTAAAAATCAGAGTCGAAAAAGGCTTATATTCTTATTTAAATAGCTAATAGAGAATATGTCTGTTGCTATAATTCTCAAAAAAACAACAAAGATTTTACTCTTTTATGGAGTTTTTTTAATAAAATACTATCATTCTTATCTACATGATAAATTTGAAAAGCAATAAAATAATCGTCAATGATTAAAAACACTAAGTTTCACTAATCGCCAAACTTTATTATTTCATAGAAAATATTTATAATCTAAAGTTATGTTGATTTACAAATAAAATACATTTTGTTTTCTATAATGATCTAATTTCTAGAACGCGTTAAACTTGTTCCTGGTCAATCAATGGAAATGAAT